TGCTCACTGGCACTGCCCGTGGCCCCCCCCTCCCCCACCCCCCCCACCCCACCCTGGACTCCAGATGATCCAGATATCACGGAACTACTGGTGAGGGGCCCCAGCCAGGGAGGACGGAGGGGTGTCTGTGTGGTTCTGGTCACTTTAAAAAAAATAATACTTTTATTTATTTCAAAGAGGAAGGGGGAGAGAGAGAGAAACTCAATGGATAGAGAGAATCATTGATCGGCTGCCTCCTGCACACACCCTACTGGGGAAGGGGGGGCTGGGGATGGAGCCCACAATCCAGGCATGTGCCCTTGACCGGAATCGAACCCGGGACCCTTCAGTCCGCAGGCTAACGCTCTATCCACTGAGCCAACTGGCTAGGGCTGGGCGTTGGTCTTTTGCTCATACAGTCACTTCACAATGTCCCAGGTAAGGCCAGGGTCACAAAGACTGAGTCAGGCCAGGTCCCTGCCCTGAAAAAGCACCCAGTCTACACCTCGCTCTCGCGCTGTCTCCCAGGGACCGACTGGGGACATACATCCTTTAAGAGAGGCCATGCTGGGAGCCCAGAAGAGGAACTTCACCCCAGAATGGGTGCATCCGGGAGGGGTTCCTGGAGGAGACAGTGTGAGAACTGAGCTTTGATTAGAGGGGTAGTTGTTCTCTGAGGGGCTCACCTAAGAATCGGGGGGTAAAGCCGGGAGGTGAGCAAGATCTGTGAGAGCTTAGAGAGTTCCCCACAGAAGCATAGAGGGAGGCCTACAGCTTGGTCCTCTTACCGCCCCCACCAGCCCTGCCCCCGGCCAGGCTTCCCCAGTCCAGCCCTGACCTGGGCGCGATGTGGACACTGACAATGACACTAACAATGACCAGGATTGCCTGGCCCGGGGGGCTCATCCATTTGGTTGTGTCTCCTCCCAGGCACCGCAAGGTTGCTGGTTTGATTCCCAGTCAGGGCACACACCCAGCTTGTGGGCTCGATCCCTGATAAGGGGGGTGTAGGAGGGAGGTAACTGATGGATGCTTTGCTCTTACATGGATGTTTCTCTCTCTCCTCTCTTTTTCTAAAAATCAGTATTATTTTAAAATAAGTCAGGATAGCATTCTTAAGGTGAGTATTCTTTTTAAAAAATATATATATTTTAGCCCTAACCGGTTTGGCTCAGTGGATGGAGCGTCGGCCTGCGGACTCAAGGGTCCCAGGTT